TGGCTCTTCCACGAGTACAACGCGTTCCTGGCGCGGGAGCCGCGGCCGCCGGCGGGCCCCGAGCGCTACGACGAGTGCCTGATCGGGCTGCTGGGGGGCTGCAGGAGAAACCTGACCAGAAGGATGGGTAATGGGGTCACTGGGACAGGATGGGGTCACTGGGATGGGTAATGGGGACGATGGGATGGGATGGGATGGGATGGGATGGGATGGGATGGGATGGGGCTATGACGAGTGCCTGATCGGGCTGCTGGGGGGGCTGCAGGAGAAACCAGACCAGAAGGATGGGTAGGACAGGGACAGGGACACTGGGATGGGATGGGATGGGATGGGATGGGATGGGATGGGATGGGATGGGATGGGGCTACGACGAGTGCCTGATCGGGCTGCTGGGGGGGCTGCAGGAGAAACCCGACCAGAAGGATGGGTAATGGGGTCACTGGGATGGGATGGGGACATTGGGATGGGATGGGATGGGATGGGCTATGACGAGTGCCTGATCGGGCTGCTGGGGGGCTGCAGGAGAAACCAGACCAGAAGGATGGGTAATGGGGACACTGGGACAGGATGGGGACACTGGGATGGATGGGATGGGATGGGATGGGATGGGATGGGGACATTGGGATGGGGCTATGACGAGTGCCTGATCGGGCTGCTGGGGGCTGCAGGAGAAACCGACCAGAAGGATGGGTAGGACAGGGACAGGGACATGGGGACACTGGGATGGGATAGGGACACTGGGATGGGATGGGATGGGATGGGATGGGATGGGATGGGGCTACGACGAGTGCCTGATCGGGCTGCTGGGGGGCTGCAGGAGAAACCAGACCAGAAGGATGGGTAGGACAGGGACAGGGACACTGGGATGGGATGGGATGGGATGGGATGGGATGGGATGGGATGGGATGGGATGGGGCTATGACGAGTGCCTGATCGGGCTGCTGGGGGGGCTGCAGGAGAAACCCGACCAGAAGGATGGGTAATGGGGTCACTGGGATGGGATAGGGACATTGGGATGGGATGGGATGGGATGGGGCTATGACGAGTGCCTGATCGGGCTGCTGGGGGGGCTGCAGGAGAAACCAGACCAGAAGGATGGGTAATGGGGACACTGGGACAGGATGGGGACACTGGGATGGGATGGGATGGGATGGGATGGGATGGGATGGGGACATTGGGATGGGGCTATGACGAGTGCCTGATCGGGCTGCTGGGGGGGCTGCAGGAGAAACCCGACCAGAAGGATGGGTAGGACAGGGACAGGGACATGGGGACACTGGGATGGGATGGGATGGGATGGGATGGGATGGGATGGGATGGGATGGGATGGGATGGGGCTACGACGAGTGCCTGATCGGGCTGCTGGGGGGGCTGCAGGAGAAACCAGACCAGAAGGATGGGTAGGACAGGGACAGGGACACTGGGATGGGATGGGATGGATGGGATGGGATGGGATGGGATGGGGACATTGGGATGGGGCTATGACGAGTGCCTGATCGGGCTGCTCAGGGGGCTGCAGGAGAAACCTGACCAGAAGGATGGGTAATGGGGACACTGGGATGGGATGGGATGGGATGGGATGGGATGGGCTGGGATGGGATGGGATGGGATTGATGGGATGGGGCTATGACGAGTGCCTGATCGGGCTCCTGGGGGGGCTGCAGGAGAAACCTGACCAGAAGGATGGGTAATGGGGACACTGGGATGGGATGGGATGGGATGGGATGGGATGGGGACATTGGGATGGGATGGGATGGGATGGGATGGGGATGGGATGGGATGGGGACATTGGGATGGGATGGGATGGGATGGGATGGGATGGGATGGGATGGGATGGGATGGGATGGGATGGGATGGGGTGGGATGGGATGGGATGGGATGGGATGGGATGGGATGGGATTGATGGGATGGGATGGGATGGGATGGGATGGGATGGGATGGGGCTATGACGAGTGCCTGATCGGGCTGCTGGGGGGGCTGCAGGAGAAACCAGACCAGAAGGATGGGTAGGACAGGGACAGGGACACTGGGATGGGATGGGATGGGATGGGATGGGATGGGATGGGTAATGGGGACACTGGGATGGGATAGGGACACTGGGATGGGATGGGTTTATGACGAGTGCCTGATCGGGCTCCTGGGGGGACTGCAGGAGAAACCAGACCAGAAGGATGGGTAATGGGGACACTGGGGTGGGATGGGGACACTGGGATGGGATGGGATGGGATGGGATGGGATGGGATGGGATGGGATGGGATGGGGCTATGACGAGTGCCTGATCGGGCTGCTGGGGGCTGCAGGAGAAACCAGACCAGAAGGATGGGTAATGGGGTCACTGGGATGGGATGGGATGGGATGGGATGGGATGGGATGGGATGGGATGGGATGGGATGGGGCTATGACGAGTGCCTGATCGGGCTCCTGGGGGGGCTGCAGGAGAAACCCGACCAGAAGGATGGGTAGGACCTGGACAGGGACATGGGGACAGGATAGGGACATTGGGATGGGATGGGATGGGATTGATGGGATGGGATAGGATGGGGACGATGGGATGGGGACACTGGGGTGGGATGGGGACACTGGGGTGGGATGGGGACACTGGGATGGGATAGGGCCACTAGGGATGTTTTGGGTCCACCAGGGATGTTTTGGGGTCCCCAGGGATGTCACCCCCGGTGTCCCCTGTGTCCCCAACCCCCAATGACACCCCGTGTCCCCCACACCCCAATGACACCCTGTGTCCCCCTGTGTCCCCAAACCCCAATGACACCCCTGTGTCCCCACACCCGGTGACCCCCAGTGTCCCCACACCCCGGTGACCCCCAGTGTCCCCCTACCCCAGTGACCCCCTGTGTCCCCCTGCCCCAGTGACCCCCGGTGTGCTCCCCACCCTGGTGACCCCCAGTGTCCCCACACCCGGTGACCCCTGTGTCCCCCCTGCCCCAGTGACCCCCTGTGTCCCCCTGTCCCGGTGACCCCCTGGTGTCCCCCCTGCCCCAGTGACCCCCAGTGTCCCCCACACCCCGGTGACCCCCTGTGTCCCCCCTGCCCGGTGACCCCCAGTGTCCCCACACCCCAGTGAACCCCTGGTGACCCCCACCCCAATGACACCCTCGGTGACCCCCTGGTGTCCCCCACCCCCTGGTGATCCCCTGGTGTCCCCCTGTCCCGGTGACCCCCTGGTGTCCCCCTGCCCCGGTGACCCCCCGTGTCCCCCACACCCCGGTGACCCCCAGTGTCCCCCTTGCCCGGTGACCCCCAGTGTCCCCTTGCCCGGTGACCCCCAGTGTCCCCACACCCCAGTGACCCCTGGTGACCCCCACACCCCGGTGACCCCTGGTACCCCCACACCCGGTGACCCCCTGGTGTCCCCTGACACCCCTGTGACCCCCCTGGTGTCCCCACACCCTGGTGACCCCCTGTGTCCCCACACCCCAGTGACACCCCCAGTGACCCCTGTGTCCCCACACCCGATGACCCCCGGTGTCCCCACACCCCAATGACACCCCCTAGTGTCCCCACACCCAATGACACCCCTGGTGTCCCCCCTGCCCAGTGACCCCCTGTGTCCCCCACCCCCAGTGACCCCCTGTGTCCCCCACACCCCAGTGACCCCCTGTGTCCCCACACCCCAGTGACCCCTGTGTCCCCACACCCCAATGACACTCCTGGTGTCCCCACACCCCAATGACACCTGGTGTCCCCCCGTGTCCCCACCCCTGGTGACCCCCTGTGTCCCCAAGCCCCAGTGGCCCCCCGGTGTCCCCACACCCCGGTGACCCCCAGTGTCCCCACACCCCGGTGACCCCCTGTGTCCCCCGCCCTAGTGACCCCCCTGGTGCTCCCCCTGTCCCTAGTGACCCCCTGTGTCCCCACACCCCAGTGACCCCCAGGTGTCCCCCACACCCCAGTGACCCCCTGTGTCCCCCCCGGTGTCCCCCACACCCCAGTGACCCCCCATTGTCCCCCAAGCCCCAATGACACCCCCTGGTGTCCCCACCCCCTGGTGACCCCCCAGTGTCCCCCCACCCCTGGTGACCCCCCATTGTCCCCCACCCGGTGACCCCCTGTGTCCCCCTGCCCCAGTGACCCCTGGTGTCCCCCACACCCCAATGACACCCTCGGTGACCCCTAGTGTCCCCCACGCCCTGGTGATCCTGGTGTCCCACCTGCGGTGACCCCCTGGTTGTCCCCACACCCCAGTGACCCCCTGTGTCTCCCACACCCAATGGCCCCCGGTGTCCCCACTGCCCCAGTGACCCCTGGTGTCCCCACACACCCCAATGACACCCTGGTGTCCCCCGTATCCCCACACCGGTGACCCCCCTGTGTCCCCCCTGCCCCGGTGACCCCCTGTGTCCCCCACACCCCAGTGAACCCCTGGTGTCCCCACACCCTGGTGATCCCCCTGTCCCCAAGCCCCCAGTGACCCCATTGTCCCCCTCTGCCCCAGTGACCCCTAGTGTCCCCCACACCGGTGACCCCCGTGTCCCCTGCCCCCAGGATCTTCACCAAGGTGGTGCTGGAGGCCCCGCTCATCACCGAGAGCGCCCTCGAGGTCATCCGCCAAGTACTGCGAGGACGAGGTGGGCACCTTGGGGACACCCCCGGGCTGGGGGTCACAGCCCTGGAGGACACCCCAGGGGACCATCCCTGTGCCCCAGGCCGCACCTGCCTGGGCATGTGCACGCTGAGGACCTGATCTTCAAGCGGCTCGTGGCAGTTCCAGTACCTGCACGTGCTGCTCGACCTCAGCCCCACTGAGAAGGACAAGGTGGGGGCATGGGGGTCCCCAACCTGGGGGGGATCCGTAGGGTGGGAGATCCATGGGCGGAGGAGATCCATGGGTGGAGATATTCTGGGGTGGGAGATCTCTGGGGTAGAGAGTCTGTGGGGTGGGAGATCCATGAGGTGGGACATTGTGGGATGGGAGATTTGGGGGTGGGATGTTGTGGAGGGAGATTTCTGGGCGGGGATGTTGTGGGGTGGGGAGATTTCTGGGGTGGGATGTTGTGGGAGTGGAGATTTCTGGGGTGGGAGATTTCTGGGGTGGGATGTTGTGGGGTGGGAGATTTGGGGTGGGATATTCTGGGGACACTGGGGTGGGATGGGGACACTGGGATGGGATAGGGCCACTAGGGATGTTTTGGGTCCACCAGGATGTTTGAGGGTCCCCAGGGATGTCACCCCCAGTGTCCCCTGTTCAACCCCCAGTGACACCCCTGGTGTCCCCACACCCAGCACCCCTGTCCCCCTGCCTGGTGACCCCCTGGTGTCCCCCACCCCGGTGACCCCCAGTGTCCCCCCACCGGTGACCCCCGTGTCCCCCTGCCCCAGTGACCCCCTGTGTCCCCCACCGGTGACCCCTGGTGTCCCCCTGTCCCCAGTTCGGTGTCCCCAAGCCCCAGTGACCCTGGTGTCCCCCCTGTCCCAGTGACCCCCGGTGTCCCCAAGCCCCAGTGACACCCTGGTGTCCCCCTGCCAGTGACACCCCCTGTCCCCACCCCCAGTGACCCCAGGTGTCCCCCTGTCCCCAGTGACCCCCAGTGTCCCCCACCCCGGTGACCCCGGTGTCCCCCTGTCCCCAGTGACCCCAGTGTCCCCCACCCCAGTGACCCCCAGGTGTCCCCTATGTCCCCACCCCCTGGTGATCCCCCTGGTGTCCCCCTGTCTGTGACCCCCTGTGTCCCCACACCTGGTGACCCCATGTGTCCCCCCTGCCCCGGTGACCCCCTGGTGTCCCCCCTGTCCCCAGTGACCCCCGGTGTCCCCACACCCCAATGACACCCTAGTGACCCCCTGGTGTCCCCCACCCCTGGTGATCCCTGGTGTCCCCCTGTCCCGGTGACCCCCTGGTGTCCCCACACCCTGGTGACCCCCTGTGTCTCCCACACCCCAGCCAGCCCCCGGTGTCCCCCACCCCAGTGACCCCCTGGTGTCCCCCACCCAGTGACCCCCTGGTGCCCCCACACCCCAGTGACACCCTAGTGCCCCCCACACCCCAATGACACCCCTGGTGTCCCCATATCCCCCACCCGGTGACCCCCTGTGTCCCCCCAGTGACTCCCGGTGACACCCGGTGACCCTGGTGCCCCCACACCCAGTGAACCCCTGGTGCCCCCACACCCAATGACACCTGGTGTCCCCCATGTCCCCAGCCCCAGTGACCCCCATGGTGTCCCCCTGTCCCGCCCCAGTGACCCCCTGGTGTCCCCCACACCCCCAGTGACCCCCTGTGTCCCCCTGCCCCCAGGATCTTCACCAAGGTGGTGCTGGAGGCCCCGCTCATCACCGAGAGCGCCCTCGAGGTCATCCGCAAGTACTGCGAGGACGAGGTGGGCACCTTGGGGACACCCCCGGGGCTGGGGGGGGGTCACAGCCCCCGGGGACACCCCCAGGGACCATCCCCTGTGCCCCCAGAGCCGCACCTACCTGGGCATGTCCACGCTGAGGGACCTGATCTTCAAGCGGCCCTCGCGGCAGTTCCAGTACCTGCACGTGCTGCTCGACCTCAGCTCCCACGAGAAGGACAAGGTGGGGGGCCATGGGGGTCCCCAGCCTGGGGGGAGATCCATGGGGTGGGAGATCCATGGGGTGGGAGATCCATGGGGTGGGATATTTCTGGGGTGGGAGATCTCTGGGGTGGGAGATCTGTGGGGTGGGAGATCCATGGGGTGGGACATTGTGGGATGGGAGATTTCTGGGGTGGGATGTTGTGGAGGGGAGATTTCTGGGCGGGATGTTGTGGGGTGGGAGATTTCTGGGGTGGGATGTTGTGGGTGGGAGATTTCTGGGGTGGGAGATTTCTGGGAGTGGGAGATTTCTGGGTGGGATGTTGTGGGGTGGGAGATTTCTGGGGTGGGATATTCATGGGGTGGGAGATCTCTGGGGTGGGAGATCTCTGGGGTGGGAGATTTCTGGGGTGGGAGATTTCTGGGGTGGGGCGTTATGGGGTGGGAGATCATGGGGTGGGAGATCTCTGGGGTGGGAGATTTCTGGGGTGGGATATTCATGGGGTGGGATATTCGTGGGGTGGGAGATCCATGGGGTGGGAGATCCATGGAGTGGGAGATCCATGGGGTGGGAGATCCATGGGGGGAGATCCATGGGGTGGGAGATCCCTGGGATGGGGCCGTTGTGGGGTGGGACATCCATGGGGTGGGGAGATCTGTGGGGTGGGAGATCTGTGGGGTGGGAGATCTGTGGGGTGGGAGATTTCTGGGGTGGGAGATTTCTGGGGTGGGAGATTTCTGGGGTGGGAGATTTCTGGGGTGGGATGTTGTGGGGTGGGAGATTTCTGGGGTGGGATGTTGGAGGGGAGATTTCTGGGGTGGGATGCTGTGGTGGGGGGAGATCTTGGGATGGGAGATCTCCGGGGTGGGACATTGTGGGGTGGGAGATCTGTGGGGTGGGACATTGTGAGTGGCAGATCTCTGGGGTGGCAGATCTCCGGGGTGGGACATTGTGGGTGGCAGATCTCCGGGGTGGGGCCGTTGTGGGGTGGCAGATCTGAGGGGTGGCAGATCTCCAGGGTGCAGATCTGTGGGGTGGGACCATTGGGGTGGCAGATCTGTGGGGTGGCAGATCTGTGGGGTGGGGCCGTTGTAGGGTGGCAGATCTCTGGGGTGGCAGATCTGTGGGGTGGGACCGTTGTGGGATGGCAGATCTGTGGGGTGGGACCGTTGTGGGGTGGCAGATCTCCAGGGTGGCAGATCTCCGGGGTGGGGCCGTTGTGGGTGGGAAATCTCTGGGGTGGGACACTGTGGGACGTTGTGGGTGGGAGATCTGTGGGGTGGGAGATCTGTGGGGTGGGAGATCTGTGGGGTGGGAGATCTGTGGGGTGGGACATTGTGAGTAGCAGATCTCCGGGGTGGGACATTGTGGGGTGGGAGATCTCCAGGGTGGCAGATCTCCGGGGTGGCAGATCTCCGGGCTGGGAGATCTCTGGGGTGGGATGTTGTGAGTGGCAGATCTCTAGGGTGGCAGATCTCCGGGGTGGGACACTGTGGGACATTGTGGGGTGGGAGATCTCCGGGGTGGGACATTGTGGGTGGCAGATCTGTGGGGTGGGACATTGTGGGTGGCAGATCTCTGGGGTGGCAGATCTCTGGGGTGGGACACTGTGGGACATTGTGGGTGGGAGATCTCTGGGGTGGGACATTGTGGGACATTGTGGGTGGCAGATCTCTGGGGTGGGGCCGTTGTGGGGTGGCAGATCTCCAGGGTGGCAGATCTGTGGGGTGGGACGTTGTGGGTGGCAGATCTGTGGGGTGGGGACACTGTGGGACATTGTGGGTGGCAGATCTGTGGGGTGGGGCCGTTGCAGGCACCCTGAGTGCCGCTGTGCCCCCAGGTGAGGCAGCAGGCCCTGTGGGTGGCAGATCTGTGGGGTGGCAGATCTGTGGGGTGGCAGATCTGTGGGGTGGCAGATCTGTGGGGTGGCAGATCTCCGGGGTGAGGCCGTTGCAGGCACCCTGAGTGCTGCTGTCCCCCCAGGTGAGGCAGCAGGCCCTGTGAGTGGCAGATCTGTGGGGTGGGACATTGTGGGACATTGTGGGTGGGAGATCTGTGGGGTGGGGACACTGTGGGACATTGTGGGTGGCAGATCTGTGGGGTGGGACATTGTGGGTGGCAGATCTCTGTGGTGGGGCCGTTGCAGGCACCCTGAGTGCCGCTGTGCCCCCAGGTGAGGCAGCAGGCCCTGTGAGTGGCAGATCTGTGGGGTGGGACGTTGTGGGTGGCAGATCTGTGGAGTGGGGCCATTGCAGGCACCCTGAGTGCTGCTGTCCCCCCAGGTGAGGCAGCAGGCCCTGTGAGTGGCAGATCTGTGGGGTGGCAGATCTGTGGGGTGGCAGATCTGTGGGGTGAGGCCGTTGCAGGTACCCTGAGTGCCGCTGTGCCCCCAGGTGAGGCAGCAGGCCCTGCTGTTCATCAAGCGCATGTACGAGAAGGAGCAGCTGAGGGAGTACGTGGAGAAGTTCGCCCTCAATTACCTGCAGCTCCTCGTGCACCCCAACCCCCCCTCCGTGCTCTTCGGGGCCGACAAGGACACAGGTGACACGGGGGGGGCGTCCATGGGGTGGGACATCCATGGGGTGGGACATCCATGGGGGGGGAGATTTCTGGGCTGGGATGTTGTGGGGGGAGATCTCTGGGATGGGAGATCTTGGGTGGGAAATTGTGGGGTGGGAGATCCTTTGGGGTGGGAGATCCTTTGGGGTGGGAGATCCTTTGGGGTGGGAGATCCTTTGGGATGGGAGATCTTTAGGGTGGGAGATCCTTTGGGATGGGAGATCCTTTGGGATGGGAGATCTTTAGGGTGGGAGATCCTTTGGGGTGGGAGATCTTTAGGGTGGGAGATCCTTTGGGGTGGAGATCTTTAGGGTGGGAGATCTTGGGATGGGAGATCCTTGGGGTGGGACATTGTGGGGTGGGGGCACTGTGGGACGTTGTGGGGTTGGAGATCTCTGGGGTGGGGAGATCTCCTTGTGCCACCCCCCAAGCTGGTGTCCCTCCCCAGTCTGGTGTCACACCCCCATTCTGGTGTCACACCCCCATTCTGGTGTCACACCTGATGTCACACCCCCAATCCAGTGTCACACCCCCCAATCCAGTGTCACACCCCCAATCCGGTGTCACACCTGATGTCACACCCCTGTTCTGGTGTCACACCCCCCAATCCAGTGTCACACCTGATGTCACACCCCCCAATCCAGTGTCACACCTGATGTCACACCCCCATTCTGGTGTCACACCCCATTCGGCAGTGTCACACCTGATGCCTACACCTCAATCCAGTGTCACACCCCCCAATCCAGTGTCACACCCCCAATCCGGTGTCACACCTGATGTCACACCCCAATCCAGTGTCACACCCCTGTTTGGTGTCCCCTCAGAGGTGGCAGCGCCCTGGACGGAGGAGACGATCCGGCAGTGCCTGTACCTGTACCTGGCACTGCTGCCCCTCAATCACCCCCCAATCCGGTGTCACACCCCAATCCAGTGTCACACCCCCATTCCGGTGTCACACCTGATGTCACACCCCTGTCCTGATGTCACACCCCTGTCCTGGTGTCCCCTCAGAGGTGGCAGCCCCCTGGACAGAGGAGACGATCCGGCAGTGCCTGTACCTGTACCTGGCACTGCTGCCCCTCAATCACCCCCCAATCCGGTGTCACACCTGATGTCACACCCCTGTTCTGGTGTCACACCCCCAATCGGTGTCACACCCCCATTCTGGTGTCACACCCCTTGGCCCGGTGTCCCCTCAGAGGTGGCAGCCCCCTGGACGGAGGAGACGATCCGGCAGTGCCTGTGCCTGTACCTGCCCCTCAAACACCCCCCAATCCAGTGTCACACCCCCATTCTGGTGTCACACCCCTGTTTGGTGTCCCCTCAGAGGTGGCAGCCCCCTGGACGGAGGAGACGATCCGGCAGTGCCTGTACCTGTACCTGGCGCTGCTGCCCCTCAATCACCGGCTGATCCACGAGCTGGCGGCCGTCTACACCGAGGCCATCGCCGACATCAAACGCACCGTGCTCAGGGTCATCGAGCAGCCCGTGAGCTGGGGGACATGGGGGGGACATCAGGGGGAATGGGGACACTGGGGACATGGGGACACTGGGGACATGGGGACACAGGGACATGGGGACACAGGGACGTGGGGACACCGAGGGCATCGCTGACATCAAACGCACCGTGCTCAGGGTCATCGAGCAGCCTGTGAGAGAGGGGACAGTGGGGACAATGGGGACATTGGGGACACAGGGACAATGGGGACATGGGGACACCGTGCTCAGGGTCATCGAGCAGCCCATGAGAGGGGGGACAGTGGGGACAGTGGGGACACGGGGACATTGGGGACAGTGGGGACAGTGGGGACACCGGGGACATTGGGGATGCTGCGGACCCTGGGGACAGTGGGGACCCTGGGGACACTGGGGACATTGGGGACCCTGGGGACCTTGGGGACATCAGGGTGTCCCCGTTGTCCCAGATCTGCAGGATGGGCATGAACTCACCTGGGGGTGCTTGGGGACCCTGGGGACCTTGGGGACACTGGGGACATCAGGGTGTCTCTGGTGACAGATCCATGGGATGGGCATGAACTCCCCTGGGGTGATTGGGTACCCTGGGGACATTGGGGACCCTGGGGACATTGGGGACATTGGTGTGTCCCTGGTGACAGATCCGTGGGATGAACATGAACTCCCCTGGGTACCCTGGGGACATTGGGGACCCTGAGGACCTTGGGGACATCGGTGACATCAGGGTGTCTCTGGTGACAGATCCGTGGGATGGGCATGAACTCCCCGGAGCTGCTGCTGCTGGTGGAGAACTGTCCCAAGGGCGCTGAGACCCTCGTGACGCGCTGCCTGCACAGCCTCACCGACAAGGGTGGGCACTGGGAGGGACTGGGAGGGCACTGGGAGGGCACTGGGAGGGACTGGGGGCACTGGGAGGGACTGGGGGGGTGCTGGGAGGGCACTGGGGGGGAACTGTCCCAAGGGCGCCGAGACCCTCGTGACGCGCTGCCTGCACAGCCTCACCGACAAGGGTGGGCACTGGGGGCACTGGGAGGGACTGGGGGGGTGCTGGGAGGGCACTGAGGGCACTGGGAGGGTACTGGGTGGGCACTGGGGGGATGCTGGGGCACTGGGAGCACTGGGAGGGCACTGGGAGGGCACTGGGGGCAGTGGGGGAACTGTCCCAGGGGCGCCGAGACCCTCGTGACGCGCTGCCTGCACAGCCTCACCGACAAGGGTGGGCACTGGGGGCACTGGGAGGGACTGGGGGGACTGGGTGGGCACTGGGGGGAGCTGGGGGCACTGGGAGCACTGGGAGGGCACTGGGGGGGAACTGTCCCAAGGGCGCCAAGACCCTCGTGACGCGCTGCCTGCACAGCCTCACCGACAAGGGTGGGCACTGGGAGGGCACTGGGAGGGACTGGGGGCACTGGGAGGGCACTGGGGGCACTGGGAGGGGTCAGTGGGGGTTACTGGGGGTCACTGGTGTGTCCCTGTCCCCACAGTGCCCCCCTCCCCCGAGCTGGTGCGCCGGGTGCATGACCTGTACTGGGAGGGATCAGGGGTCACTGGGGGTTACTGGGAGCACTGGGAGCACTGTCTCTGGGATGTTACTGGTCTGTCATTGTCCCCGCAGTGCCCCCCTCCCCCGAGCTGGTGCGCCGGGTGCGTGACCTGTACTGGGAGGGATCAGGGGTCACTGGGGGTTACTGGGATGTTACTGAGGGTTACTGGACTGTCACTGGGGGTCACTGGTCTGTCCCTGTCCCCGCAGTGCCCCCTCCCCCGAGCTGGTGCGCCTGGTGCGTGACCTGTACTGGGAGGGATCAGGGGTCACTGGGGGTCACTGGGGGTTACTGGGATGTTACTGAGGGTTACTGGGATGTCACTGGGGGTTACTGGGATGTCACTGGTCTGTCCCTGTCCCCGCAGTGCCCCCCTCCCCCGAGCTGGTGCGCCTGGTGCGTGACCTGTACTGGGAGGGATCAGGGGTCACTGGGGGTCACTGGGGGTTACTGGGCTGTCACTGAGGGTTACTGGGATGTCACTGGGGGTCACTGGTCTGTCCCTGTCCCCGCAGTGCCCCCCTCCCCTGAGCTGGTGCGCCGGGTGCGTGACCTGTACTGGGAGGGATCAGGGGTCACTGGGGGTTACTGGGCTGTTACTGAGGGTTACTGGGATGTCACTGGGGGTCACTGGGATGTCACTGGTGTGTCCCTGTCCCCGCAGTGCCCCCCTCCCCTGAGCTGGTGCGCCGGGTGCGTGACCTGTACCACAAGCGCCTGCCGGACGTTCGGTTCCTCATCCCCGTCCTCAACGGGCTCGAGAAGGTCGGGACGTGCCCTCTGTCACCTCGTGTCACCTGTGTCACCCCTGTCCCCTCTGTGTCCCCTCTGTGTCACCTCCGTGTCCCCTCTGTGTCACCTGTGTCACCTATGTCACCTCCTGTCACCTCCTGTCCCCTCTGTGTCCCCTCTGTGTCACCTCCTGTCCCCTCTGTGTCCCCTCTGTCACCTCTGTGTCACCTGTGTCCCCCTGTCACCTCTGTGTCACCTCTGTGTCACCTCCTGTAACCTCTGTTCTCTCTGTCACCTCTGTGCTCTCTGTGTCACCTCTGTCACCTCCTGTCACCTCTGTGTCACCTCTGTGTCACCTGTGTCACCCCTGTCACCTCTGTGTCACCCCTGTCACCTCCTGTCCCCTCTGTGTCCCCTCTGTGTCACCTCCTGTCCCCTCTGTGTCACCTCCTGTCACCTCTGTCCCCTCTGTGTCCCCTCTGTCACCTCTGTCACCTCTGTGTCACCTCTGTCCCCTCCTGTCCCCTCTGTGTCCCCTCTGTCCCCTCTGTGCCCCTCCTGTCCCCTCCTGTCCCTTCCTGTCCCCTCTGTGTCCTCTCCTGTCCCCTCTCTGTGTGTCCCTGTGTGTCCCCTGTGTGTCCCCTGTGTGTCCTGTGTGTGTCCCCTGTGTGTCCCCTGTGTGTCCTGTGTGTGTCCCCTGTGTGTCCTGTGTGTGTCCCCACGGTGTCCCCATGGTGTCCCCTGTGTGTCCCCTGTGTGTCCCCTGTGTGTCCCCTCTGTGTGTCCCCTCTGTGTCCCCTCTGTCCCCTCTCTGTGTCCCCTGTGTCCCCCCTGTGTCCCCACGGTGTCCCCGTGGTGTCCCGTCTGATGGGCGCTGTTTTGGGGCAGAAAGAGGTGATTCAGGCGCTGCCCAAACTCATCAAACTCAACCCCATCGTGGTCAAGGAGGTTTTCAATCGACTGCTGGGGACACAGCACGGTGAGGGGACAACCTGGGGACACCATGGGGACACCATGGGGACATGGGGACAGTGTGGGGACATGGGGACACAGCATGATGAGGGGACACCGTGGGGACACCATGGGGACACCGTGGGGACATGGGGACACCATGGGGACATGGGGACACCATGGGGACATGGGGACAAGCTGGGGACAATGAGGGACATGGGGACAGGCTGGGGACACAGCAGTGAGAGGACAGCCTAGGGACACCATGGGGACAATGAGGGACATGGGGACACAGCACGGTGAGGGGACAGCCTAGGGACACCATGGGGACAATGAGGGGACATGGGGACAGTCTGGGGACCATGTGGGGACATGGGGACAGTGAGGGGACACAGCGCAGTGAGGGGACATGGGGACAGCATGGGGACAGTGTGGGACATCCCCGGGATGGGACATCCCCAGGGTGGGGACAGTGTGCGACATCCCTGGGGACAGTCCCAGTGCTCACCAAGGGGACAGGGGACATCCCTGGGGGTGGGACATCCCCGGGGTGGGGACAGTTTGGGACATCCCTGGGGGTGGGACATCCCTGGGGTGGGGACAGTTTGGGACATCCCTGGGGGACATCCCTGGGGGTGGGACATCCCTGGGGACAGTCCCAGTGCTCATCATGGGGACATCCCTGGGGTGGGGACAGTGTGCGACATCCCTGGGGACAGTCCCAGTGCTCACCAAAGGGGGACAGGGTGGGACATCCCTGGGGGTGGGGACAGGGTGGGACATCCCTGGGGTGGGGACAGTTTGGGACATCCCTGGGGGACAACCCTGGGGGTGGGACATCCCTGGGGACAGTCCCAGTGCTCACCATGGGGACAGGGGACATCCCTGGGGGTGGGGACAGGGTGGGACATCCCCGGGGTGGGGACAGTTTGGGACATCCCTGGGGGACATCCCTGGGGGTGGGACATCCCTGGGGACAGTCCCAGTGCTCACCATGGGGACAAGGGACATCCCTGGGGGTGGGGACAGGGTGGACATCCCTGGGGGACATCCCTGGGGTGGGACATCCCTGGGGACAGTCCCAGTGCTCACCATGGGGACATCCCTGGGGTGGCACCTCCCCGGGGGTGGGGACAGTGTGGGACATCCCTGGGGGTGGGGACAGTGTGGGCCATCCCTGGGGGACATCTCTGGGGTGGGGACAGTGGCCCTGTCCCCTCACAACCTCTGGACGTGTCCCCCTGTCCCCTCACCCCACCCCCGTGTGTCCCTCTGTGTCCCCTGTCCCCACACTGCCCCCGGGTTTCCCCCTGTCCCCTCACCCCCTGGATGTCCCCCCTATCCCCCTGTCCCCCCTGTGTCCCCCCTGTCCCCCCTGTCCCTTCACACCCCCGTGTCCCCCCTGTCCCCTCACCCCCTGTGTGTCCCCCCTGTCCCCTGACCCCTCTGGGTGTGCCCCCCTGTCCCCTCACCCCCCTGTCCCCACCCTGTCCCCTCACCCCCATGTGTCCCTCTGTGCCCCCTGTCCCCACACTGCCTCCGGGTGTCCCCCCTGTCCCCTCACTTCCCCTGTGTCCCCCTGTCCCCTCACCCCCCTGATCCCCCTGTCCCCTGACCCCGGTGTCTCCCCATGTCCCCCCTGTCCCCTCACCCCCTGTGTCCCCTGTCCCCACCTCCCCTGTGTGTCCCCTGTCCCTTCACCCCTGTCCCCTGTCCCCCCTGTCCCTCACCCCTGGGTGTCCCCTCCCCCTCACTCCGGGTGTCCCCTGACCCCCCCCATCCCCGCAGGTGACGGCTCGTCCTCGGTGTCTCCGCTGAACCCGGGGGAGCTCTTGGTGGCCCTGCACAACATCGACTCCAGCAAGTGTGACATGAAATCCATCATCAAGGGTGCGTGGGGACAGCGGGGGGACATCCAGGGGGGAGCCACTTCCTCCCTTCCCACCCCAAAATTCCCCCCGGAATTCCCCCCACCCGGAGCTCGTCCCGTGCTCCGAGCAGCCTCGTGGGGGAACTCCTGGGGATGATTCCTGGGGGTGATTCCCAGGGATAATTCCCAGGGATCATTCTTGGTGCTGATTCCCAGGGGTGACTCCCAGGGATAATTCCTGGGGGTGATTCCTGGGGGTGATTCCCAGGGATAATTCCCAGGGATCATTCTTGGTGCTGATTCCTGGTGCTGATTCCTGGTGCTGATTCCCAGGGGTGACTCCCAGGGATAATTCCCAGGGGTGATTCCCAGTGGGCGATTCTCGAGGGTGATTCCCAGGGATAATTCCCTGTTGTTTTCCCCCCAGCCACCAACCTGTGCTTTGCTGAGCGCAATGTGTACACCCTGGGGGTGATTCCTGGGGGTGGGGGTGATTCCCAGGGATAATTCCCATGGATAATTCCCTGTTTTCCCCGCAGCCACCAACCTGTGCTTCGCTGAGCGCAATATGTACACCCTGTGGGTCATTCCCATGGATAATCCCTGTTGTTTTCCCTGTTGTTTTCTCCACAGCCACCAACCTGTGCTTTGCTGAGCGCAATGTGTACACCCTGGGGGTCATTCCCATGGATAATTCCCATGGATAATCCCTGTTTTCTCCCCAGCCACCAACCTGTGCTTTGCTGAGCGCAATGTGTACACCCCAGGGATCATTCCCATGGATAATCCCTGTTGTTTTCCCTGCAGCCACCAACCTGTGCTTTGCTGAGTGCAATGTGTACACCCTGGGGGTGATTCCCAGGGATAATTCCCATGGATAATTCCCTGTTGTTTTCCCCCCAGCCACCAACCTGTGCTTTGCTGAGCGCAATGTGTACACATCAGAGGTGTTGGCCGTGGCGCTGCAGCAGCTGCTGGAGCAGAACCCCCTGCCCGTGCTGCTGATGAGAACTGTCATACAGGCCCTGGCATCGTATCCTCGCCTGGGGGGCTTTGTGATGAATGTCCTGTCCAGGCTGATCATGAAACAGGTATGGGTGTGTCTGTCTGTCCATCATCCATCTGTGTGTGTGTCCATGTGTGTGTCCATCCCTGCCCGTGCTGCTGATGAGAACTGTCATACAGGCACTGGCATCCTATCCTCGCCTTGGGGGGTTTGTGATGAATGTGCTCTCCAGGCTGATCATGAAACAGGTCAGTGTGTCCATCTGTGTGTCCATCTGTCCATCTGTGTGTCCATCTGTCCATGTGTGTGTCCCTGCCCGTGCTGCTGATGAGAACTGTGATACAGGCACTGGCATCGTACCCACGCCTGGGGGGGTTTGTGATGAACGTGCTGTCCAGGCTCATCATGAAACAGGTATGTGTGTCCATCTGGGTGTCCATCTGTGTGTCCATCTGGGTGTCCATCTGTCTGGGTGTCCATCTGTCCATCTGTGTGTCCATCTGGGTGTCCCCCCCACCTGGGAGGCTTCATCACGACCGTGCTGTCCCGGCTCATCATCAGACAGGTCAGGGTGTCTGTGTGTCCATTTGTCCTTCTGCCTGTCCATCTGTCCTTGTGTGTCCATCTGGGTGTGTGTCCATCTGGGTGTCCATCTGTGTGTCCATCTGTGACCCCCCCAGGTGTGGAAGCACCCCAAGGTGTGGGAGGGGTTCATCAAGTGCTGTCAGCGCACCCTGACCCCTGAGTGACCCCTGAGTGACCCTGAGTGACCCCTGTGACCCTGAGTGACCCCTGAGTGACCCCATTGACCCCTGAGTGACCCCACTGACCCCTGAGTGACCCTGAGTGACCCTGAGTGACCCCATTGACCCCTGAGTGACCCCTGAGTGTCCCCCCAGGTGTGGAAGCACCCCAAGGTGTGGGAGGGGTTCATCAAGTGCTGTCAGCGCACCCTGACCCCTGAGTGACCCCTGAGTGACCCTGAGTGACCCCATTGACCCCTGAGTGACCCCATTGACCCCTGAGTGACCCCATTGACCCCCCCAGGTGTGGAAGCACCCCAAGGTGTGGGAGGGTTCATCAAGTGCTGTCAGCACCCTGACCCCTGAGTGACCCCTGAGTGACCTGAGTGACCCACCTGGTGACCCCTGAGTGACCCTGAGTGACCCTGAGTGACCCTGGTGACCCATTGACCCCTGAGTGACCTCTGAGTGTCCCCCAGGTGTGGAAGCACCCCAGGTGTGGGAGGGGTTCATCAAGTGCTGTCAGCGCACCCTGACCCCTGAGTGACCCTGTGTGACCCCATTGACCCCTGAGTGACCCTGAGTGACCCCTGAGTGACCCCAGTGACCCCTGAGTGACCCCTGAGTGTCCCCCCAGGTGTGGAAGCACCCCAAGGTGTGGGAGGGGTTCATCAAGTGCTGTCAGCGCACCCTGACCCCTGAGTGACTCTGATGACCTGAGTGACCCTGACTGACCCTGAGTGACCCTGAGTGACCCCATTGACCCTGAGTGACCCTGAGTGACCCCATTGACCCCTGAGTGACCCTGACTGACCCTGAGTGACCCCATTGACCCCTGTGTGACCCTGAGTGACCCCTGAGTGACCCTGAGTGACCCCGAGTGACCCTGTGTGACCCCTGAGTGACCCCTGAGTGACCCCATTGACCCTGTGTGACCCCATTGACCCTCAGCCCCCCAGGTGTGGAAGCACCCCAAGGTGTGGGAGGGTTCATCAAGTGCTGTCAGCGCCCTGACCCTGAGTGACCCTGAGTGACCCTGAGTGACCCCTGAGTGACCCTGAGTGACCCCATTGACCCCTGAGTGACCCTGAGTGTCCCCCCCAGGTGTGGAAGCACCCCAAGGTGTGGGAGGGGTTCATCAAGTGCTGTCAGCGCACCCTGACCCCTGAGTGACCCTGTGTGACCCTGACTGACCCCATTGACCCCTGAGTGACCCCTGAGTGACCCTGAGTGACCCCAGTGACCCCTGAGTGACCCCTGAGTGACCCCTGAGTGTCCCCCCAGGTGTGGAAGCACCCCAAGGTGTGGGAGGGGTTCATCAAGTGCTGTCAGCGCACCCTGACCCCTGAGTGACCCTGTGTGACCCCTGAGTGACCCCATTGACCCCTGAGTGACCCCTGAGTGACCCCTGAGTGACCCCTGAGTGACCCCTGAGTGACCCTGTGTGACCCCTGAGTGACCCCATTGACCCCTGAGTGACCCTGAGTGACCCCTGAGTGACCCCATTGACCCCTGAGTGACCCCTGAGTGTCCCCCCAGGTGTGGAAGCACCCCAAGGTGTGGGAGGGGTTCATCAAGTGCTGTCAGCGCACCCTGACCCCTGAGTGACCCTGACTGACCCTGAGTGACCCCTGACTGACCCTGAGTGACCCCTGAGTGACCCCATTGACCCCTGAGTGACCCTGAGTGACCCCATTGACCCCTGAGTGACCCTGACTGACCCTGAGTGACCCCATTGACCCCTGAGTGACCCTGTGTGACCCCATTGACCCCTGAGTGACCCCATTGACCCCTGAGTGACCCTGACTGACCCTGAGTGACCCTGAGTGACCCCATTGACCCCTGAGTGACCCTGTGTGACCCTGTGTGACCCCTGAGTGACCCCATTGACCCCTGAGTGACCCCTGAGTGACCCCATTGACCCCTGAGTGACCCCTGTGACCCTGTGTGACCCCATTGACCCCTGAGTGACCCCTGAGTGACCCCATTGACCCCTGAGTGACCCCTGAGTGACCCCTGAGTGTCCCCCCAGGTGTGGAAGCACCCCAAGGTGTGGGAGGGGTTCATCAAGTGCTGTCAGCGCACCCTGACCCCTGAGTGACCCTGAGTGACCCTGAGTGACCCCATTGACCCCTGAGTGACCCCATTGACCCCCCCTCCCCAGGTGTGGAAGCACCCCAAGGTGTGGGAGGGGTTCATCAAGTGCTGTCAGCGCACCCTGACCCCTGAGTGACCCCATTGACCCCTGAGTGTCCCCCCAGGTGTGGTAGCACCCCAAGGTGTGGGAGGGGTTCATCAAGTGCTGTCAGCGCACTCGCCCCCAGTCGTTCCCGGTGGTCCTGCAGTTGCCCCCCCCCCAGCTCGCCGCCGTCTTCGAGAAGTGCCCCGAGCTGAGGGAGCCCCTGCTGGCCCACGTCAGGGCCCTCACCCCACACCAGGTGTTTGGGGGGTTATTTGGGGTCTGGGGGGTTATTTGGGGAGCCCCTGCTGGCCCACGTCAGGGCCCTCACCCCTCACCAGGTGTTTATGGGGGTTATTTCGGGTTATTTGGGGTTATTTGGGGTTATTTGGGGAGCCCCTGCTGGCCCATGTCAGGGCCCTCACCCCTCACCAGGTGTTTATGGGGTTTATTTGGGGTTATTTGGGGTCTGGGGGGGTTATTTCGGGGTTATTTGGGAGCCCCTGCTGGCCCACGTCAGGGCCCTCACCCCACACCAGGTGTTTATGGGGTTATTTGGGGTTATTTGGGGTCTGGGGGGGTTATTTGGGGTTATTTGGGGAGCCCCTGCTGGCCCACGTCAGGGCCCTCACCCCACACCAGGTGTTTGGGGGGTTTATTTGGGGTTATTTGGGGTTATTTGGGGTCTGGGGGGTTATTTGGGGAGCCCCTGCTGGCCCACGTCAGGGCCCTCACCCCACACCAGGTGTTTGGGGGGCTATTTGGGGTCTGGGGGGGTTATTTGGGGTTATTTGGGGAGCCCCTGCTGGCCCACGTCAGGGCCCTCACCCCACACCAGGTGTTTATGGGGTCTGGGGGGGTTATTTGGGGTCTGGGGGGGTTATTTGGGGTTATTTGGGAGCCCCTGCTGATCTACGTCAGGGGCCCTCACCCCACACCAGGTGTTTATGGGGTTTATTTGGGTTGTATTTGGGGTCTGGGGGATTGATTGGGAGCCCTGCTGGCCCACGTCAGGGCCCTCACCCCACACCAGGTGTTTGGGGGCTATTTGGGGTCTGGGGGTTATTTGGGGTTATTTGGGGAGCCCCTGCTGGCCCACGTCAGGGCCCTCACCCCACACCAGGTGTTTATGGGGTTTATTTGGGGTTATTTGGGGTTATTTGGGGTTATTTGGGAGCCTGCTGCTCACGTCAGGGCCCTCACCCCACACCAGGTGTTTATGGGGTTTATTTGGGGTTATTTGGGGTTATTTGGGGTTATTTGGGGAGCCCCTGCTGGCCCACGTCAGGGCCCTCACCCCACACCAGGTGTTTATGGGGTTATTTGGGGTTATTTGGGGTCTGGGGGGGTTATTTGGGGTTATTTGGGGAGCCCCTGCTGGCCCACGTCAGGGCCCTCACCCCACACCAGGTGTTTGGGGGGTTATTTGGGGTTATTTGGGGTCTGGGGGGTTATTTGGGGTTATTTGGGGTTATTTGGGGTCTGGGGGGTTATTTGGGGTCTGGGGGGTCATTTGGGGAGCCTCTGCTGGCCCACGTCAGGGGTCCCTGGGGTTCTGGGGGTCCCTGGGGTTCGGGGGTTCTAGGGGCTTCTGGGGGTCTGAGCTGTGTTTAACCCCTCCTCCCCAGCAAGCGCACATCCCCTGGGGGTTCTGGGGGTCCTGGGGGCTCTGGGGGTCGTGGGGGGTTCTGGGGGTTTCTGGGGGTCTCTGAGGTTTTTAACCCCTCTCCCCCAGCAAGCGCACATCCCCGGGGTGGTCCGTGGGGGTTTCTGGGGGTCCCTGGGGTCCTGGGGGCTCTGGGGGTCGTGGGGCTCTGGGGGTCCTGGGGGTCTCTGAGGTTTTAACCCCCTCCCCCCAGCAGCGCACATCCCCTCTCCACCATGGCCGTGCTCGAGGCCTCCGCTCGCCACGACCCCGGGAGGGACCCCGGGAGAGGTGAGGGGGGCCTTGGGGGGCACCTGGGACCACCCAAAGGGGAGGGAACCCCTGGGACCACCCAAAGGGGAGGGGAGGGACCACTTGGGGGAGAGACAGGGTGACCTCCTGGGACCATTTGTGGGGGGCGGGGGGCACCTGGGACCCCTTGGGTGGGGGAGGGACCCCCTGGGACCACCTGAGGTGGGGAGGACAGGGTGACCCCAAGGAGGTGAGGGGATCAGGGATGACCCCCTGGGACCATCTGGGGGTCAGGGGTGACCCCTGGGACCACCCGGGAGGGGGAAAGGGGGACCCCCTGGGACCACCCAAAGAGGGGGGTACACAGAGGGGTGGGGAGGGTCAGGGGTGCCCCAGCCCAGCTGGGGGAGCTGTGTGTGGGGGGTAGGGGGTCAGGGGGCCCCCAAGTCCCTCATTTACACCCCCTCCCCCCAGGAGAAGCCCCCAAGAGACCCCCGAGGAGGAGCCCAAGGCCAAGGGGGGCAGCACCCCAGCCCCGGGGGTCCCAGCTCAGGCTCCTCCCCCAGAGGCCCCCGGAGCTGGGGGGCAGGGGGCCGATTGGAGCCCCCATCTTCATCAGCGTCCCGAGGATGAGGAGAGCTCGGGGGAGGGTCCCCCTGACGCCACCCTGGACCCTCGTGGGACCCCCAAGGTAGGTGACCCCCAATCTCCCCAGTCCCCTCTGACCCCGTTTTGGGGGTGGGGGCCATTTCTGACCCCCTCAATGTTTGTGACCCCCCAATCTCCCCAGTCCTCTGACCCCCGTTTTTTGGGGGGCATTCTGACCCTCCCTCAATGTTTGTGACCCCCTCTCAATATCTGCTAGTCCCTCTGACCCCCTCTGACCCCTTTTTTTTTGGGGTGGGGGGCCATTTCGACCCACCTCCCAATATTTGTGACCCCCAGCATTTGTGATCCCCCAGCCCCTGTGACCCCCTTTTTGGGGGTGGGGGGCTATTTCTGACAACCCCCACTCAATGTTTGTGACCCCCCAGTCCCCTCTGACCCCCTTTTTTTTGGGGTGGGGGGCCATGTCTGACCCCTCCCCCAATGTTTGTGACCCCCAATATTTTGGCCGCCCCCAAACACCCCATGAACCCCCTTTTAGGGGTGGGGGGCCATTTCTGACCCCCCTCCCAATATTTGTGATCACCCCTCAATGTTTGCTGACCCCTTTTAGAGGTGGGGGCCATTCTGACCCCCATCACAATGTTTGTGACCCCCCTCCAATGTTTGTGACCCCCAATATTTGTGACCCCCAGTTTGTGACCCCCCAACCCCAGCCCCTGTGACCCCCTTTTAGGGGGTGGGAACCATTCTTCACCCCAATATTTGTGACACCCCCATGTTTGTGACCCTCCCCCTCCAATGTTTGTAACCCCCACCCTCTGTGACCCCCTTTTTAGGGGGTGGGGAACCATTCTGATCCCCCTCAATATCTGTAACTCCCCCAATCTTTGTAACCCCAAAATTTGTGCCCCCTCACCTTTTGGGGGTGTTGAGAGGAGGTGACACCCAAATGTCTGACACCCCCCTTTCTCTCCCCCAGGACCCCCCGCAGGCTCAGGGCCCCCTCCAGGCCCCCAGAGCCGCCCCTCCCGGCAGCCCCACTGGGCCCCTGGGCACGCAGGCCGAGGGCCCCGGGGGCTCGCCATCCCCCAGGCCCACCGAGGGGCTGAGGGGTGGAGGCCCCGACCCTCCCCCAGGGACCCCGGACCCCCGAGGGGGCTCAATAAAGGCGTGGGAGGGAGCTTTGGGGGGCGTGTCTGATTGTGGGGGCAGGGGCCTGGGAGGGAAGGGGCGGGGCTTGAGGTCATGGGGGCGGGGCTTCATCTCAGGGGCAGGGCTTGAGCGGCAGGGGCGGGGCTTGGGCCTTTTGGGGGCTGGGTGACCCCTCCCCCTCTGTGAGAGAGCCCCACCCCCAAAGCCCCCTCGTGGGGTGACTCAGGACCCCCCAAAAAAAACCAGGCTGGGGGCTTTGAGGCGACCCCGTATGGGGTGACCCCCTCTATGGAAGACCCCCAAGGTCCCCCAAAATGACCAATCCCCCAATTCCCCGTGGGACCCCCTGGATGGGGCAGGGGGCTTCACTCCCCTCCCCACAAAGCCAGACCAAGGGGGCTTTGAGGTGACCCCCATGTGGGGTGACCCCCTCATGAGAAGACCCCCCAAGGCCCCCAGGACCCCCAAAATTTCAAATCTCCCCCATTCCCTGTGGACCCCCTGGATGGGGCAGGGGTTCACTTCCCAAAAAAAAAAACCCGAGGCGGTGGGAGGGGAGGGGAGGGTTTGAGGCTCCCACTTTATTGGGGAGGGGCTCTTGGGGGCTCTGGGGGGGTCACAGGAGCGGGGGGGCCTCGCTGGGCTCCTCCTCGTCGAAATATTTCTCCTCCTCGTCGCGGGCCACGATGTCCAGGTTGTCCAGATCGGGGTTCTCGTCCACCTGGCTGCGATTTGGGGGGGTTTTGGGGGGTCCTGAGGGGTTCTGGGGGGGCCCCCAAGGGCTTGGAATCCCCCTTGGGGTCCCCCTTTCCTCTTGGGGTCCCCTCCGGGGCTTTTGGGGTCCAGCTCGGGGTTCTCATCCACCTGGCTGCGATTTTGGGGAGGTTTTGGGGGGTCCCCTGAGGGATTTGGGGTCCCTTTCCTTCCCCCCCGGGGGTTTTGGGGTCCAGCTCAGGGTTTTTGTCCATCTGGCTGTGATTTTGGGGGGGTCCCTTGAGGGTTTTGGGTCCCCTTTGGGGTCCCTTTCCTTCCCCCCTGAGGGTTTTGGGGTCCAGCTCTGGGTTTTCATCCACCTGGCTGCGATTTTGGGGGGTTTTCAGGGGTTCTGGGGGGCCCCCCAAGGGATTTGGGCTCCCTTTCCTTCCCCCCCGGGGGTTTGGGGTCCAGCTCTGGGTTTTCATCCACCTGGCTTCGATTTTGGGGGGTCCTGGGGGGCCCCCCTAGGGCTTTGGGTTCACCTTGGGGTCCCTTCCCTTCCCCCCCGAGGGTTTTGGGGTTCCTCTTCTGGGATTTCCCACTCCTCCCTCAGGATTTTGGGGTCTCCCTGGATTTTTGGGGTCTCCCTCTGGTTTTTGGGGTCTCCCTCTAGGTTTTGGGGTCCCCTTCGATGTTTTTGGGGTCCCTCCTTGGCTTTTGGGATCCCCTGCTGGTTTTTGGGGTCCCTCCTTACCCTCTGGTACCCCCCACTTTCCCCCCAGGATTTTGGGGTTTCCCCTTGTTTTTGGGGTCCCCCCGCGGGTTTTTGGGGTCCCCCTCGATGTTTTTGGGGTCCTCCCGCGGGTTTTTGGGGTCCCCCTCGATGTTTTTGAGGTCCCCCTCGATGTTTTTGGGGTCCCCCTCGGTGTTTTTGGGGTCTCCCCTTGTTTTTGGAGTCCCCCCGCGAGTTTTTGAGGTCCCCCCCGGGTTTTGGGGTCACCCTCGATGTTTTTGAGGTCCCCCTCGGTGTTTTTGGGGTCCCCCCGCGGGTTTTTGGGGTCCCCCTCGATGTTTTTGGGGTCCCCCCGCGGGTTTTTGGGGTTCCCCCGGGTTTTGGGGTCCCCCTCGGTGTTTTTGGGGTCCCCCCGCGGATTTTTGGGGTCTCCCCCTGGTTTTTGGGGTCCCCCCTCGGGTTTTTGAGGTCCCCCTCGATGTTTTTGGGGTCCCCCTCGATGTTTTTGGGGTCCCCCCGCGGGTTTTTGTGCTCACCTGTAGTCGAAGTCGGGCTCGAGCCCGTCCAGGAACCTCTGGTACATCCTGGTGGCGAATTCCCGGCGCAGCATTTCCAGCTCCGCCTCGGCCGGGACCCGCCCTGCGGCCTCCCCTCCCCTCCTCGTCCTCTTCCTCCTCCTCCTCCTCCTCCTCTTCCTCCCCTGGGGACCCCAAAACGTCAGGAACCCCAAATTCCCCTTTGGGATTTCCCCCTCCCCCGTTTCTCCCGGGATTTTGGGGTCCCTCCCATTCCTGTTTGGGGTCACCCCATGAGGTTTTGGGGTCTCTTCATCCTCATCCTCCTCTTCCTCCTCCTCCTCCCCTGGGCACCCCAAAACCTCAGGAACCCCAAATTGCCCTCTGGGATTCCCCCGTTCCCACGTTTCTCCCGGGATTTTGGGGTCAATCCCAGGGTTTTGGGGTCTCTTCCTCCTCCCCCTCCTCATCATCCTCCTCCTCCTCTTCCTCCTCCACTTCTTCTTCCCCCCCTGGGGACCCCAAAACGTCGGGAACCCCAAATTCCCCTTTGGGATTTCCCCCTCCCCCCGTTTCTCCCAGGATTTTGGGGTCAATCCCAGGGTTTTGGGGTCTCTTCCTCCTCCTCCTCCTCCTCCTCTTCCTCCCCTGGGGACCCCAAAACATCGGGAACCCCAAATTCCCCTTCCGGATTTCCCCCTCCCCCCGTTTCTCCCGGGATTTTGGGGTCCCTCCCATTCCTGTTTGGGGTCAATCCCGGGGTTTTGGGGTCTCTTCCTCCTCCCTCTCCTCCTTCTCCTCCTCCTCTTCCTCCTGGGGACCCCAAAACCTCAGGAACCCCAAATTCCCCTTCGGGATTTCCCCCTCCCCCCGTTTCTCCCGGGATTTTGGGGTCCCTCCCATTCCTGTTTGGGGTCAATCCCGGGGTTTTGGGGTCTCTTCGTCCTCATCCTTCTCTTCCTCTTCCTCCTCCTCCTCTCCTGGGGACCCCAAAACCTCAGGAACCCCGAATTCCCCTCTGGGATTCCCCCATTTCCCCGTTTCTCCCGAGATTTTAGGGTCAATCCCAGGGTTTTGGGGTCTCTTCCTCCTCCCCCTCCTCATCATCCTCCTCTTCCTCCTCCACCTCTTCTTCCCCCCCGGGGGACACCAAAACGTTGGGAATCCCAAATTGCCCTCTGGGATTTCCCCCTCCCCCCGTTTCTCCTGAGATTTTGGAGTCAATCCCGGGCTTTTGGGGTCTCTTCCTCCTCCTTCTCTGGGACCCCCAAACTCCCCTTTGGGATTTCCCCCTCCCCCCGTTTCTCCCGGGATTTTGGGGTCCCTCCCACTCCTGTTTGGGGTCACCCCATGAGATTTTGGGGTCCCCTCACCTGGGTTTTGGGACCCCCCTTTCCCCTTTGGGGTCTCCCCCCTTCCCCGGGGTTTTGGGACCCCCTCTGATATTTTGGGGTCCCCCTCTCCCCTTCCCACCCCCCGATATTTCGGGGTCCCCCTCGGGCTTTTGGGGTCCCTTTTTCCCCTGTGGGGTCTCCCCCCACCTTCCCCCGGGTTTTGGGGTCCCCCTTTCCCCTTTGGGGTCTCCCCAGGTTCAGCCCCTCCCCGATATTTCAGGGCCCCCCCTCCCATTTGGGCCCCCCGATATTTCAGGTCCCCCTACCCCTTTGGGGTCCCCCGGGTTTTGGGTTCCCCTTTCCCCTAGTGGGGTCTCCTCCCTCTTCCCTGGGGTTTTGGGGTTTCCATTTCCCCTTTGAGCCCCCCGATATTTTGGGGTCCCCCACCCTCCCAAATTCCCCACTCGATATTTGGGGTCTCTCCCACCCCCAATTTCCCCCTCGATATTTGGGGTCCCCTCTCCCTTAGCCCCCTCGATATTTGGGGTCCCCCTTCCCCTTAGCCCCCGATATTTGGGGGTCCTCCCTCCCTCAATTTCCCCCGATAGTTGGGGTCCCCCTCTCCTTTGGGGCCCCCGATATTTGGGGGTCCCCCTTCCCATGGGGCCCCCGATATTTGGGGGTCCCCCTCCCATGAGACTCCACACGATATTTGGGGTCCCCCAATCCCAAACCTGTTTCGGGGTCCCCCTCCCTTGG